CCCTCAAGCCTAGCATCCCTCTGCCGTTTGGTGTGGGACTGTCAGAAATGAATGAAAACATAGGTTATATTTAAACATAGGCAATGTTAGGTTTCAGAACAAAATGCAGAAAGCGAGTGAAAACCTAGACTAGGTGAAATAATCTATTTTTGAATATTTTCATGAACAATTAAAAAATTAATCACTCAGTAAAAATCCGTCGAATCAGAATGTCAAGATATACTCTATTTCGTCTGCAACTGTAAAGGTCAAAAAATGTCGAAATAACCAACAGAAAATACTTTGGTGTCTAGAAAGGTTTCGCAGAAACCTTCGGAACTAAGAGAATATTTATTATTGATTTCAAGTACAGAATCAGGATGAGCGGATAAAATAGAGTATGTGCTGACATTATATTTGGATCAATTTTGACTGAGTGATTTATTTTTTAGTGTGTAACATTGCCTATGTTTAAATATAACCTATGTTTTCATTCATTTCTGACAGTCCCACACCAAACGGCAGAGGGATGCTAGGCTTGAGGGAAAATCTTCATAGCTCCCGAACCATGGATTTTGAAGACGTTGCTTGGATCAAGTTTTGTAGAGGACAGTTCGGACTATAAACTCATCGAAAAAAATCAGCATATTTCTATGTCACTTCTGAGAGCTACGACCTGGTTTTACAAAGATTCTCTGAAAATCCGGTCTTTGAAATCTTTTCAAAAATTATTTTTGCTTGTGCAAAGGTGAGTACCAGCGTTGGCTATCGAATACCGAAAACCGCAGGTCTCTACCTCATTTCTGCCAAAAGTTATTCAAAAACTAACCGACTGCCTTATATTTTGAAACCGATAGTAATATCAAAGCATACGATTGCAGCATATACGGTCAAATGTATGTGCTGAATATCGTTTGGAGTGGACTAATAATTGATGTGTTTCTTTAACATATTATGCTGTTTAAATTTATTGTAGAAAAGTTTTTACAAGATGTGAATTTTTCGTGCGCATAATGTTCTCTTTTTAAATCAATGTGCTTGATTTTTGGACTATACTTGGAATCCTTTAATTCTTTTACAGACGCATTATCGTTATGTTTTTGTGAACTTAATACGTTGATGGGCATACGGACACCTATTATTATAGTATCCGACTAGCGATGTGTACGAACAGGCTTCTTATATCGGAATTCGGCTTGTATCTGAATGGTTTAGCCATATTCAAAATTCAGTTTCGGATTACACATCTCTTGATCATACTTGATTTCTTTTTGACAGATGACTTCGTCAAAAGTTTATCTCTGAATATTTTATTGTTATGTAATATTTTTTCCATAGTATTCAATTTTGATCTTGGTTTACGTCAGCATAATAACCTTTTTTATATGCTAACTGCAATTTGGCCTGATTCATCCTCTACCGCTGTATAGTTATTACAAGAAACCTCTTAAAGTTCATTGACTGATGAAACAAAATACTACTTTGTTAACAAAAGAAAAAGGACAAATACATATTTCCGTTTATAAAGGACACACCCTTTACTCTAATAATGTTGGCTTTCAGAGTAAATAACAGGAAGAGCAAAACAATCGTGTCAAAACTGCAGTATTATTCCAAAATGAGATATGTTTCTCAGTTTCTTGACAAAGTACCATTTTTTCGAGCGAGTAAATACAGCTAACAAAAAAATATATAATTACTGATTGACAGCGACCATGATACAAATAAATTTTAAATAAACTCCATAAAACAATTGAGTATGAAGTTTATTAGGTGTTCATGCCGTAGTTTCAACTATTAAATGCGATCGTCATCATTTTTAACGTCACAAAATCAAAATATTTTGTCATTACAGATTTGATATATATTTTGAATAAAAATGAAAGCTAAAATTATAGTTCATATATGAATCTGCATCTAACAAACAAGAATATCATTATCATTTTTTTTTGCTGTTGTTGTTAAATTTATTCTAAAAGAAAACTATCGGTTGAGTAAATCGTTGACGTCGTATTTTTTATGAACATGATTAGCATTTGTTTATGGTGATTTCAAAAACTTCTTGTCTTGGTTTGAACAATTATTTATATTAACTATTTAGAAACATTTGCAATGACGGAAAAACTATGTCAGCTATGTCAAACTATGTATTTCAGTTCCTCTATTCGTACAAAATTGATTTTGTGTTACATACATCGATCGATAGCCTATATCGAGACAGTAAAAAGCCTAAAAGAATTTATTCCCATGGCTCTTGAAAATCAGTTTTTCAGAAACTCTAAAAGATAACGAAAACGTTTCTTAATAAGGCATGATTGTAGCCCAGGAATTTCTGATTAAAATGAGACGTCTCCCAGCTCTACACGACCTTTCTTTGCAAAGTTATAGAATTTACAAGAAAAGCCCTAAATGTTCATTGTCAACGCAAAGCTACAGAAATAAGACGAAATCAATCAATTCAGGGGTTTTCGTGTAAATTCTATAACTTTGCAAAGAAAGGCCGTGTAGAGCTGAGACACGTCTCATTTTAATCAGAAATTTGCGGGCTACACTCATGCTTTATTAAGAAACGTTTTGCAATTTTTTTTTAGAGAAACTGATTTTTCAGAAAACCGGGTCTTCAAGAACCATAGGATGAATCCTTTTAGGCTTTTTAATATCTCGATATAGGCTATCGATTGATGTATGTTTGAAAGAAATCAGCCTAAAATACAAGGCCAGTAGTTATTTTTGTTTTGAATAACTCAAAAGGAATAAAAGATAGATACTTGTGGTTTTCATCATTCGCTAGTCAAGACCTGAAGCTATGTCCTCATAAGCAAAAGCAAATTTGGAAAAAATTTCGAAGACCGATTTTTCAGGAGATCTGTAAAAAACCAGTTCGGTTCTCTCAAAATTGACATAGAAATCTATGGATCTTTTTCACAGATATATAGCCTGAAGTGCTCTCAACAAAATTGCATCTAAACAACAGCTTGGAAATCCACGGTTCGGGTGCTATGGACGGGAGCCAAAAGAAAATATATGACCGGCCCAGCTCGGTCAGAAATTTTTAGACCGGTTATCGGCTCGGTCGAGAAAATCTTGACCGATTACATCAATGCATGAGTTTCTACTATTAGTTCATATAGCTTGACGTTCGCGTGTAAGTGGAGTATGTATATTTATTACAGTTTTAGTTTAAGTCTTCTTTTGTTAAGTGGTTTGATCGTGACGGAAACAGAAAAACAGCGATGACGCAGCTCATTTGTAGCTCTAACTGATCAAAACCTTTTTGAGTATCAGTGACTTTTTTAGACAACCTCTGAAATGCACTTGCATATGATAGCTTTTGTTTTATCTGCTTTATAATATTCACTATTTTCAAGAACTGTTAAAATATTTTGCACGATTGTGTGTGATGCACAGAATATATGGATAGTTTCTATTCAACGTTTATTCAACTGCAACTTTATTAAATTTAAATAGGATTAAAAAAACGATACAAAATTATTTATGATGTTTATGAAAGTAATTCGCCTGCGCTACTATCAATTTCTATCATGTCACTGGTTGATCGATCATCATTATCTTCTGCTTTCCATGTACACTGACATTGCATAGCCATTTCATTTAACACTAGATTATCATGAGTTCTCACCAAACGTAATAATTCACGACATTTTTCTTTATCAATTGATTCTTGTGACAATATATTCGATTTGAAATATCCAAAAATTAACATTATGTAATATAAATCATCGCTCTTAATTAAATCATAACAAATAGTTAATTTCTGTTCTAAATTGATTTCATTTATAAATGGTGCTTGTTCCACATATAGTGATAATTCTCGTAAAACATGGAATAAATAAAACTCATTTGACAAATGAACTTTTAAAAATTTAATCATGTCCACCAATTCGTCCTGGCTACCAGTCATTGAATTCAGAAGTAATATACCAATGGATGTTGCCAATGTTTTGTTATATATCAATGTATTGGCTGCCCATTCTTTCAATTGATGAACAATTTGTTCATCATGTCGATATCTTTTAATAACGGCAGCTAGAAGATTAATTAAACTGTTGATACGATTATAAACCGGCAAATCTTGTTGATCATTCAAAGCATTTTGTTGACGATCAATTAGTTTATAGCTTTCACTTGTCGTTAATTCTTTAAATATTTGTAAAATATTTGTCATACACGATAAATTTCTTTTACAACAATCTAGTAATCGTTGAAATGCGTATATTGCCAATGTTCTACCCGATAAATCAAATCTTAAACATAAATCAACTGCTTTTGAAATTAATTCTAGTTGTGGGCAATATTCAGTGTCAATACGCCGCCAAGCTTGCTTACGTATGATTAATGTTGGATGATCCAGACTTTTCATTTGAATGCGTTCAACAAATGTGCGAAGTTGTTCATCTGAATGTAATTGTAATAATTTTCTTAGATTACCACCTGGAAATAACTCATCTGATATTTTAATATATTTGTCTTGCGAAGCGGCTTCTTCCAACATTAACCATAAATGTTCATTTTCAAAATTTGTTTTAATAAATTGTATTAAAATTGAAACACAACATAAGCGTACATCTTGATGAGGTTTTGATAACCACAATGGATATAAAACATGGTCAATTAATGTCCGATCAAAGCGATATTCAATAAGTAAACGTAATACTGCTTTATTCGTTGTTATACCTGAACAAACGAAAATATAATGGATTTAAAATAATATTGAAGTAGAACCTTGACTTTGTGCAAGATACAGACTTTTATAGTGAAACTAACATAAAACATATAATAGGGTGCCCTAGAAGTGGCAGTATCAATGTTTTCAAGCTTTCTCCTCTTCCTTAGATTTCGCAAACTTCGTAGTTAAATGTTTATAATCCGTTTTTACGAGTTTGTTGTATATCTGAAATCATTTTTACTTTATGTCGTAGGAAATAAGATTTATTCATTCAATTCAAACGTTTCCGTGTTTTATATACCTTCTTCGGTGTATAAATAATTGAGAAAACACAAAATTTAGCGATAAGAACCATAAAAATAAAATTCACAACATCTAAAAAGTAAAACAGAATATTGATAAGAATATCATCATTTCACTGAAGATGTATAAAACACCGAAACGTTTGGATTGAATAAATAAATCTTATTTTCTACGAGTTAAAGTAAAAATGACTTCAAATATCGTTTTCATTCATTCCTTGAGATTGAATAAAAACTAAAGCTATTGTGTAGCTCACAAAAAGCACCACCCTTAAATTTATACATCAGACTTTTTAAGATCATAAACCGTCACACAGTAAAAGCTTTTCTTCGCTTTTGAACCGCTGAACGAATTTTGCTATATTTGATTTTGTTCGTTTTGCATGTTTGAGGCTTTCAATACAACTCGTACAATTCAGCTAATAATAAAGCTTTTGCGTAGAGATGTGCAATCGAAATGCGAAAAATCCGATCCGCACTCGACTCTAAGAATGTTTTTTTTAAACTTTACCAAAGAAAATTAATGTCATTAGTTCCCTTTAGTCTGTAAGAAGATACAAATTAAGTAGATACAAAAGATACAAATATACACGTCTGGAAAAAAATAGTTGCAGTCGATTTTTTTAATATATCATCACCTTAAAAAAATAATTACATATTCTGAAAGCGCTTGGAGTTCTATATCACTCTGTATATTTATGTATTGTCTTACATTTATTTGCCGACAAATAAATTGAATGCAACGACGGCCCCTCATCAGCACATTCCCAGAAATTGTAATGGGTGTTGCTTCTCAGTATTTTCTATTTTTCTCGTATTTCTTTAAGATCCAAAGGTTAATGTTTTCTTTTAAAAAGATGCGCCGTGAAATGCTCTACAAAACCATACCCAAAACTTCAATTATAGAGCTTCAATCAAGAAAACCACACAAATTAAACGAAAGACGAAAAAAATCAAAACTGTGAAAATCTGTTATTTTTTTCCACTGAAATCTTTTCCTTTTGTTAATATTTTCGTAAAAAAAGGGTTGCAAAAGTGAGAAGTCAGTTCTTTTTGTACGTCTGAACGTGCTCTTTCTCATGGTCTGTAAAAAATCTTTTAGTACCAATGATGTGGGAAAAGTGAAAAAAAGTAGCGAAAGAACCGAACGTTTTGGTACTTGTTAATTGGGGACACCTTCGCTGTACTCAGATTGTTTTTCAGTAAATAAATACAAGACAATACATAAATGTATAGAATGATAGAGAATTTTAATCGCTGTCAGAATATATAATTATTTTTTTTAAATGTATTTTTATAGGGATGATATATTAAAAATCGAGTGTAACTATTTTTTTCCAGGCGGACATAACAAATTGACACATTTATTGTTCTGTGAAGTACTTGTGTCATACGCCCAACTATAGGACATATGCCTACTAGGTCGAAAAATTGATTCATGTATGTTTTTATCATAAAACGTATTGTTTAACACGTACGTGCAGTTCTAAATAAATTTCTATCATAAGCCAGTCGGTCATAGTCATTCCAGAAAAGCGCAGGAAACTCTATTTGCGAAAACTTTTACGCGTTTAGCGAGTTTCAAATAATAACACGCAAGAAGCTGCGAGTGTGTAAAAATAAACCGCAGGAAACGCACGTTGCCGTGGAAAAAAAGGCTTTACACCCGTGTTCCTGCGGTTATTTTGACACACTCGCAGCTTCTTGTGTGTTATTATTTGAAACTCGCTAAACGTGTAAAATTTTTTCCAAATAGAGTTTCCTTCGATTTTCTGGAATGACTATGACTGACTGAGAATCAGTGATTATAAGAAGGAATACATACAGGACTGAAGACAAAGAATACAAATGATATGACAGCTAAGTTAGACAATGGACAATTTCAAACCTGTAATAAACTTGCATTATTTTTTGCACTTTTACGTTTTCAGATAGGAGTATAAACATTGAACCCGTGAACACATCTACTTTTGATGTCAGGTTTATTTTATTTTGATCAGAAATAATTTCTCCACTCAGTTCTATAGCCAAAAGTTGACTAACGAGGGAAGTACCCCAACTGATAAATCGCTTTTTCAACGAAACCGAGTGGACTATAGGTAGTCGACGATGTTGATTTCGAATATCACCATGAACGCTGCCGCTAACCCTTCAAAGACCGGTCTTCTGGAAAACCAGTTTTCGAGAAACTCTAAAGAACAACCAAAAGCTTTCTTAATGAGGCGTAATTGTAGTCCATAAATTTCTGATTAAAACGAGGCATCTCCCAGCTCTA